AATTCCCCTAAACAGTTTCCAGGAGGCGTTATCATCTACCTTGGATAGCAATCACGGTACTTACAAGATATGTAAAGTACCAGGTCAGATATTTTGAAAAGTTTATCTGAATACAGAACAGCTGAAGGTTCGATCGCTACAGTATAAACTATAGCATTTGTTCTTCCTCTGTTTAAGCGTTGAATCCTCTCACCGATATACATTTATCAGGACTAGTTTAAAGAATTTGCGAGTTTCCCACATTTCTTAGGGGAGCATAAATAAAACTTGGCAGGTTTTCAATTAAACAAGGCTGAATCTCAAGGTTCATTTTCCATCCTTATGTCTGTCGGTTTTGATGTTTCGTGGATTTTTCCCTCATTCCACAAACAGTTTTTAGCCAAGATCCAAGAAATACCTCTATTCTTAGCATTATAGCATAATCTTGGTCTTTAATTTTAATCGTAATTTATCTTACAGGAAAGGACAAGCCGGTGGTTGTGACGATGCGATTCTTTATTTCAGTGACACTTTGTATCGCGTATGAAATTTTCGCTCAAGAATGCAAAAAGGATGAGCATGCAATTTTTGGTATGATGCTTCGAAGACACACCTTCAAAAAGTTGAAATCGTCGATTGCAGTCGAATGTAATCGAGCGTGTAACGATGATTTTCGATGTCACAGCTTCAATTACTTAATTACGGAGAAATTATGTGAACTAAACAACCGGACTAAGGAGGCCAGACCAGAGAACTTTGTACCAAATTCGGAGAGATATTATGTCAGGAGTAATAAGAAAAGAGGTGAGTTTCATCGCCCAAAAGGACTTAACAATGAGTGTAAAATTTAAACTTTCTAAACTACTATGGGGGTTGGTTGGTTAAATTTGAGACACCATGGACAAAAGACATGATATTACTCCAAATTTATACTTTCGAAAGCAAATTATTTTCCATGAAAGAAAGTGGATAGCGTTATCCGTAGTTTAAATTTCTGGGCCCTAGCTCTTTTTTTTTTTGATCGAGAGGAGTAATGAAATTTATTATCCAACTGCACAAAGTAGGGAACAAATAATGCGAGTGCAAATATCCCGCGATATTGTACAGTTATTTCGACAATTAATTATTTCTCACCGTAAAAAAACCTGTTTGACAAGTTGGCTACACTTGCCTTCTCTTGTACCGTATTTAACAACTGTTCCATGTTTGTTAGTTAAGAGCCTTCAGCTCCTCAAGTACCGGCAGCGATTAATTCAAAGCGTCGTCGCTTTGTGATCGAGTCGGATGATGAAAATGAAATGTAGTTTTGGAAATTATTTTCATATGCAAAGGGCACATCCATGTCTTTAAGAGCTTGTCTCCTGGCAGATTCAAAGCTTTGTTACTGGCGATAAATTATGAATCACTTTTCATTGATAAATGTACACTTTCATACTTGCAGCAAATGCGTACAATTTGAGAACAACAATCGAAAAAAAAATTCAACTTTTAATCGTTTTGAAACCTTATGTGACAAGTTGACGGCTCAACTCGTAAAAATACTCAGCGATCTACCCACCTAAACGTCTAGTAAGAAAGTTGTTAGAGGGTAGAAGTACAGCTAGAAATTATCTTTGATGAAAATATTTCTTGTCCTCAGTTCCTCTTGGTTCCATTCCTGAATTTCCAGCGGAAACATGTGAAGAGATAAACGCCAGCGAAGATGGAAAAGCGAAAAGTGGCGAGTACTGGATTTATTCCGTTATAACGGGAAAAACTGCTCTGGTTTCTTGCGATATGGAACCAGAAGGTAAAAATATTCAAGTTCTTGTTGTTGCGGCTGATGTGAATGTGAAAAAGTTTGTTTAAAAATTTATAGTTCTGGTAATTTAGATATAAAGGTAATGAAAATAATATACACTTTTTGTTGCCTTTCAATGAAAACCTTAAAGCAACCATCATAAATAGTAGTAGCCTTACCCTCATCATTTCCCATTTGCACATATTTTTATTTATTGAGTAAAAAAAGTTATGTGTACTCTAGGATTCGGTAGACTTTCAAGGACCAAATTCTTTCTATCATTACGGCTCGACCAAGGAACTTTAGCAAGTGATTAATTGCAAAGCATTCAGACCAAACTAGCATATGAATATGCAACTTTTGAAGGCAAATGTGTGTGTTTGATGATCGTTACCATTTTAACCGAATACCATACATACCAAAAAAAAAAACAAAAAAGCATAAAATCGACTCATGTATGTGGCCTGCAACATTTCTAGCGCGGCA